CCCCCAGCGGTGGCCCCCGCCCCTCCCACCCTGGACTCCACCGCATCGAGCCTGACGTCCTACGACAGTGAGGTGGCCACACTGACCCAGGGGGCTCCTTCAGCTCCTGGAGACCCCCCTCCACCAGGCCCTCCGGCCCCAGCAGCACCGGCTCCCCCCGTCCCTCAGCCGGGTCCAGACCCTCCACCAGGCACGGATTCTGGTATTGAGGAGGTGGACAGTCGGAGCAGCAGTGACCACCCCCTGGAGACCATCAGTAGCGCATCCACGCTGAGCAGCCTGTCTGCTGAAGGTGGTGGGAGCGCAGGGGGTGGTGGAGGTGGCGGGGGTGGGGCTGGTGTGTCCAGTGGCCCCGAGCTTCTGGACACCTATGTGGCCTACCTGGACGGCCAGGCCTTTGGGGGGAGCGGGACTCCTGGCCCACCGTACCCCCCACAGCTCATGACTCCCTCTAAGCTCCGGAGCCGGGCACTGGGGGCCAGTGGAGGGTTGCGGCCTGGCCCCAGTGGGGGACTGAGAGACCCCGTCACCCCTACCAGCCCCACCGTCTCGGTGACAGGGGCTGGAACTGATGGGCTGCTGGCCCTGAGTGCTTGCTCAGGACCCTCGACAGCAAGTGTAGCTGGGGGTTCAGTGGCAGTAGAGCCAGAAGTCCCACCGGTGCCCTTGCCAACGGCCTCCTCCCTGCCTCGGAAGCTGCTGCCCTGGGAGGAGGGCCCGGGCCCACCACCGCCACCCCTGCCTGGGCCTCTGACCCAGCCTCAGGCCTCAGCCTTGGCCACAGTAAAAGCCAGCATCATCAGTGAACTCAGCTCCAAGCTCCAACAGTTTGGGGGCTCCTCGGCAGCTGGAGGGGCTCTGCCTTGGGCCCGGGGAGGCAGCGGGGGCAGCGGGGACAGTCACCACGGGGGACCCAGCTACGTCCCCGAGAGGACCTCCTCCCTACAGCGGCAGAGGTGAGCCTGGGCTAGTGGCTGGCAGCGGAGGCCAGAGCGGCCCATGTGGGTACCAGAGTCCCTCTTCCCCCTAGCTGTGTCCTTTTAGGGTCTCTGGGTGACAGAAAGGAAATAGACTCGGGGCCGGGTGGCAGACCTGGCCCTGAGGATGCTGCCTTCCCAAGGGCCTTGGGCTTCCTCTCTGTGGCCCCTTTGGCCTCCTCCATCCCCGCCACAGCCCACCCCAGGACGAGACCGTGTTAGGAGCAAGAGACTCAGAGCGGCTTGCTGAGGTCTCTTTCCTCGTTGGGGTCAATTGCTCTGACCGTCCCTGGATTGTCCTTGAGGTCTGTGGTGTGGCTCAGGATGGAACGTTTGGGGGCACAGTGGTCACAGGTGTGGCTCTGGGGCCCAGTTCCTGGGGTCCCAGGCCCGGCCCAGCCCTGAAGCGAGGGGATTTTAGACGAAGGAATTCCACCTCTCTGTGGAAGGGGGCAGCACAGTGCCTGCTCCAAAGAGTTTGAAGTGGGCCATGGTTAGGAGATGGAGGAGGACAGGGGCCTCTTAGGAGCCCCGCACCCGGGTAGGTGTGGGGGGTGAATCCGGGAAGATGCCCGAGTTTCCCCCGACAGCTAGGGAAAGTGGTTACTGTCCTGATTCAGACCCAGGGAGGGGGAGAGAGCTTAAGAATGGCATGCGTCCCCAGAGCGCACTGGACTTCCATTTGAGAGTTGGGGACTGTCATGATTAACATGCAAGTGTGGGTTTATCAGGCCACTGAGATTCTAAAGCAGTTCACTCGTGATTCTTGAGTATTCTGAGTTGAGGAGAGGACACTTAATTTAGCCAACAAATGCATCCCTTACGATGATGTATCACCTGCCATGTGCTGGGTACCATTCTGGGTGAGGAGGGCTCCAGAGTGGACAAGGCAGGGCACAGACCCCACAGCCCACAGTCTAGTGAGGCTGGCGCCGGGGAGGGGGGGAGGCACAGAATGATTTCAACCATCATTAAGAAAAATAAAATAATGGGATGGTTATAGAAGGTCTCTCAAAAAACAGGCAAGAGGAGCCGAGAGTGGAGAAGGGAAGGGGCCCATCATCAGGCTGTCTGGGGAAAGAGTGAGCTACCCAGAGGGAACAGCCAGTTCAAAGGCCCTGAGGTGGGCCTGTACTGGAGGGAGGTAAAGGGATGAGGGGAACCTATTTCTCCCCTTGTTTCTTCTCTCTTTCATCTCCCTCTCTTCATCTCTCTTTCTCTCTCTCTCTGTCCCCTGTCCCCATCCATCTTTCTCCCCTGAATGCCCACCCTCTTTTTGTTTCTCTCTCACTGTCTCCCTGTCTTCCACTCTGCTATGACTGGCCATAACCCGAAAGGCAGTATAGAGTAGTGGTTAAGAGCTCAGACTTTGGTGCCATATAACCGGGCTCTGCCACTTCCTGGCTGTGTGTCCTTAGGCAAGTTACTTAACCTCTCTGTGCTGATGATGATGATGATGATGATGATGATAATAATAGTAACCTGCGTCAGGGCTGTCGTGGGGATTAAATTGAGATGCAATATGGAAAGCACTTAGAACGATGCCTGGCACACGTGAGCAGCAGTGAGTGATGGCGATTATTATTATTATCACTTAATGTCTCTTTTTCTTTCATCTCTTGACTGTCACCCTGTCCCTGTCCTCTCCTCTCTCTCTCCCTTCATTTCTGTCCTGACGTCCATCTGACCCCTGTGCTCCTCCCATCTCTCCCTGCCTCTCTTCTCCACCTCTCTGCCCACCCTCGTGTCTCTCCCCCTATATCTTGACCTCGGCCTCTCTCTCACCCTGCCCCGGCCCCGGCCCCCCTCTCCTCCACCCTCGCCCCTGGTCATCTTCCAGGCTCTCCGACGACTCCCAGTCCTCCCTCCTCTCCAAACCAGTCAGCAGCCTGTTTCAGAACTGGCCCAAACCACCTCTGCCACCACTCCCCACTGGAACCGGCGTGCCCCCTTCAGCAGCTGCAGCCCCAGGGGCCACCTCACCCTCGGCCTCCTCCTCCTCCACGTCCACCCGCCACCTCCAGGGCGTGGAGTTCGAGATGCGGCCCCCGCTGCTCCGGCGGGCCCCCAGCCCCTCGCTGCTGCCCACCTCGGAGCACAAGGTCAGCCCTGCGCCCAGGCCCTCGTCCTTGCCCATCCTGCCTTCTGGACCCCTCTATCCGGGCCTCTTTGACATCCGTGGCTCCCCCACCGGAGGGGCAGGAGGCTCCGCTGACCCGTTTGCCCCTGTCTTCGTGCCGCCACACCCGGGGATGTCCGGGGGCCTTGGAGGAGCTCTGTCGGGGGCCTCGCGCTCCCTCTCACCCACCCGCCTGCTTTCGCTGCCCCCGGACAAGCCGTTTGGCGCTAAACCTCTAGGGTTCTGGACCAAGTTCGATGTGGCCGATTGGCTCGAGTGGCTGGGCTTGGCCGAGCACCGTGCCCGGTTCCTGGACCACGAGATCGATGGCTCCCACCTGCCCGCCTTGACCAAGGAGGACTATGTGGATCTGGGTGTGACCAGGGTGGGCCACCGCATGAACATTGACCGGGCTCTCAAATTCTTCCTGGAGAGGTGATGGCTGGCCTGGACGGACCAGCCCGTCCACAGTACCCTTGAGCCTGCTGGCCTCCTGACCTCTGAACCCTGACCACCATTCTCTCCCTGGGCCAGGGACTCTGCTGAAGCTGCGCCCTGCCCTCGTCTCCCAAGGCCTTGGGCCACCAGGTGGCCCTGTGCAGGCCGGACACTTTGCGCCCTACAGGAGGGGGAGGCTGACACAAGACTGCGTTGTGACAGGGGGCGGAGGGGGCGATGGAAGAAAGGACACGGGGATCCAGAAGGAGGGAAGGGTCGATTCTGGGGGGAGGGGTCAGACAGAGCCATAGAGGGTCAGCCCTGAGCCTGACTGGATGGGGGCCTGACTCCCAGGCCACAGGGGAAGGGGGCACCCTCAGATTCCACCACCTGCCGCCTCTCAGCAGCCTTCCCACCTTGCCGGCCCCAGCCCCCCTCGCCCCTCCCCTGCACACAGGCTGCCCCTCCTGCACGCGCACTCCATTGCACGCCCACTTGCCTCTACCCGCTTCCCTGGGCTGCAGTTTTGCACAGATTGGCCCTCTCGCTGTCTTGCACACTCGCCTTTGCGTCCAGGCTCCGGGGGCCCCCTCAGCTGTCAGACACGCTGTTTTCCTGGCACACGTTGCGTTTCGCTCCCTCCTCCGCTCTGCGCCCCCCCGCTCTGACTCTGCTCACACTCTTCCGCTGGGACCCTCTTGTGCACACCTCACTTCCTACAGCCTCAGACCCCTCAGCCTCTCTGAACCCATGATGCAGACACACGTGGGACACACCTTCCCTGCCCATCCCGACCCCACACCCCCGCCCCCGCTCCCTGGGAGCCTTCTCTGCTCAGTCCTTGCGTCTGTCCGACTGTCCGTCTGTCAGTGCTCTGTCCTCTCTCGTGCAGCCCTCCGCACACAGTTACCTCCATTTGCTTACGTCGAAGCACTTTCTCTTCTTTATCATGAGCCCCCAGATTCTTACTCTACCCACCTCTTCCTCCTAGTGGCACTCTCACCCCTCCCCTGCCACTTTCTCCCTCAACCTCTTGCACTGTCACTTTTGCACACTTGCTTCACAGAACTGTCTCTCTCACAAATGCTCACTCCCCTCCTCGTTGCCAGGTCCCATTTCCCTGCACCCCTCTTCTTCAGACCCTTGTCCACCTCCACTCTTGACTCTCACACACCCTCTTGCACACTCGAGGTCACATGCACCCTCCCCTGCGTTCTCACTGTTCCCCGGGAGCCTCTTCCTTCTGTGATGCTTTGCACCCGGGGACCTGCTGCACCCCTCTGCCTTTCCGCTAATGCAGCTCCCAGGAGAGCGTGCACTGCCCCCTCTTTCTGTTTGCACACCCATCTCCCTCGCTTCTGGGCTGCACTGCCCCTCCCTCTCCTGACACCCTTCTTTTCTGCTCCTGCCCAGGCACAACTCTGTGGCTGTTCTCATGCTCTGCGCCCCTCCTGCTCTCCTCACTCCCTGGAGAAAGGCCGGTGCTTGCCTGCTCCTGCTCACCAGGCTTCTCACCCCTCCTCTGCCGCCAGCTCCCCTTCTCTTCCAGCTCTCTCCCCTTACTCTCCCTGCCCTTCCTGGGCCACCTGTCTCTCCGTTTTGCACGAGGACCCCACTCTCCTCCTACTCTCCTCTTCTCTCCTTTCTCTCCCCCTTCTCCCTCCAGCATGGCTGCTCCGTCCCGCACGCTTCCCCTTTCCCCTTATTCCTGGGGCTTGGGAATTTTAAGCCACCCCTACCCCTTGGAAGCCCCCTCCCCTGCTGTGGGTAAAGGGGG